TATATATACACATATGCATGTACATACAGATACACACACGCACCACTTTATGTCATTGTGTTTTATTCTTGTACACAGAAGCACGCATGACTATAGATTTGCATCTGCACCAAGGACACCCGTACAAATGCACAAGACAGACGCATACCGACCGTATGGCATGGACCCTCAGGCTGAGATGGCTGAGCACCGGCGCACTGCATTTTCGTTGCATTGCGTTCAAGAAGACTTGGACGAGGCTAACGGACAGCTGATTTACCATCAGCACCTTCAGCCACCTTGGGCTGCCTACAAGACGAAACGTGAGTTGCGCGAGGCGGAACTCAAGCTGTCGGATGCTCTTTGGAAGCAGTACAGCATCAACCAGGGGCGCCTCTGAAATCTACAAGCCTGCAGCGAGCGAAGAGGTGGAAAGCCATACTGCGGAGAGCCAGCAGCATACAAGTCACCTGGGTCCAGTATTTGCCATCAGGGCTTGGAAACGATCAAGCCTGACGGTCTGTGCCTCCCCCTGTGTTTCGTTGTGCAGATTCCCCTAAACCCTAAGCCCTAAGCCCTAAACCCTGAAAGCTCTTGGCTGAAAGCTTCCTCTGCTTCGAGTGAGAGTGTCGGAGGCTAGGCTACAGGTTTTGGGCTCAGTTTCGGCTCTGGGTGCGCGTTTAGGGTTTAGGGTTTAGGGTTTCAGGGTTTAGGGCTTCAGGGTTTAGGGTTTAGGGTTTAAGGTGGCTCCTGATCATCAAAAATACCAACCTTCAACTGCGCCTATGTCCTAGACCTATGTATAGCTCTTCGTTGGTAGGAGGCCCCTGGTACTCAGCCGTCAATACCCCACCTCCTAATGCCTGGCCCGCACCGTTCGGCATCGAACTACCGCGTACTATACTTGGCTTAGTAGTAGAATCGGTCATAGGTAACCCTTCAACTGGGGTACTAGAACCCCTATCTAATGCCTAATGCCAAAGGTTTACCTTTGCGGTACTTAAAGGATCATGGCACTTAGCAACTGAGGTTATAAACAAGGTAACTATACTTATAACCCCAAACAGGGTACCTATAGCCCTACTTACAAACTCCCAAGATCCTCCAAGTAGCATCAGGTCCCGCGAGGCTGCGTCGTCTTCAGCAGCAGCAACTGGGCCCAAAGACTTTGCCTGTGGGCAGAGACCCTGCCGGAAGGATCCGGTGACTTACGGTTGATGGACAAAATCCTGCATGACTTTATATACCTAAACTATGGAATTTATGGTACTATACTCTATTTGGGTCATGCAGAATTTTGTCCATCAGCAGTAGTACATCAGGTTGCTTGGAGGGTCGGGGGACTTAGTACGTAGTTTCGTTGTAGACTTATAAGTACCATAACCCCAATTAGGATCCCTTTTAGGGTGCTTCTAAGTCCACTTATTACCTACTTACTAAGTCCCCCGACCCTCCAAGTATAGCTCCCTTAATTAAATTGAGGATTATAAAGATATCTTTAGCATCGTAAGCCTTAGTAAGCTAACATGTAATAGTAAGTCCCGTGATCCTTTAGGTAAACCCCAAAGCGGAAACGCTTCAAATTGCAAGGCTATAGGATTTAGTGGTGGGGCTGAGGTTCGTGGGTTGGTTTCAAAGGCATTTTGGGACCTGGCGTGTGGGGGGTTTCGGGGTCATAGTTTAGGCTGCAAGCTATTCACGGCTTTTCCGAAGCCTTTGATTTATAAAAGAGGTAGGGTTGTCCATGGTACAGCCCCCTACCTTATCCATGTGATAAATATAGGTCTTGATGAGCTGTACTCGTCCTTTTGCATAGGGGGTGGGCCAGCCCTTAAGTGCAGATATCGGGATGTCGTTCTGGTCTTGGCAAGCATTTCTAGCCCTGTGCACGCATGCCTACATCGCCTCAGACGTTAGCATATGCCAAGCAACACCTCACATCTCAAGGTTTCCGTTTCACAGAGTAGGGTATACATGTAAGCCATTAATCCCTTCACGTGATCCGCCTTCAGGTGAAATCCATCCTGCCGCAGATTCCAGTCGCTTGGACTGGGGCGTTCGTATTGACAGCTTGATTATGGGTTTCAGGGTTTAGGGTTTAGGGTAGCCCGCTTAACTTCGCCGTAGAAAAAGCCGGTTGAACTTGGTCCAGAGAAGAAGGGAGTTTATCCTAGTGGTCCAAGTACTTAATAATCTTACACTCTCCCAAGTATTAACCTACAGAGCTAGTATCATAAGCTCAAGTACCTTATTCTTGGGTCCTTTGGACCCTTAGGGTTAGGGCTGAACTTCAAAATGTGAGATTGCGACAATTTTGCCAGGGATTTCCGGGGTGGATCTGTCCAACTGTTGATTCGAAGGGATTGAAGCATGAGGGTTTAGGGTTGAGGGTTTAGGGTTTAGGGTTTACGGTAGTATATGCAGTATAGGATATATTCTGGGTTCAGAGTTTAGGGTTCAGGGTATGGTTGGGGCCCTGAGCAGTTCAGAGCGTGGACAAGCATAGGGAATACCCTGACGCGTCCACGCGCTACTACTATCTTAAGCTCATTGCCTGATAACTGGGTCCTGTGGACCCCTAAAAACATCAATAGACCGTTTACTTTAGGGCTTTTGAGTTTAGGGTTTTTGTTCAAAGGGCAGCCTTTTCTCTGAAGAAACCCTAGAAACCAAACCCCAAACCCTAAAACCTACACCCTAAACCCTTAACCCTAAACCTTTACCCTGAACCCTTTAAAACCCTCCAGTAAAAGCCCTGGATCATGGGACTTAGTAACTGATGTTATAAACAGGGTAACTATACTTATAACCCCAGTTAGGGTACTGAGAAACCCTACATACTAAGTCCCAAGATCCTACAAGTATACCAATCCCTCGGCCCTAAACCCTAAACCCTAAACCCGTAAACCCTACTGATTAAGTCCCAAGATCCTACAAAGCCTAATCTTCAAGGAGCCTTTGCAGGGAACTCCAGAAAGGAACCCCCTTGAAAGAAGTCACGGGATCCTGTGGACGCTTAAAAAATTGCAGAATAAGGGTTTAGAATTTTAGGGTTTAGGGTTTTAGGGTTTTAGGGTTTAGAGTTTAGGGTCTAGGGTTTGGGGTTTTAGAGTTTAGGGCGTAGGGTTTAGGGTTATCTGTTTATACTATAAAGGAGCCCCGAACCCTATCCTAAGCATTAAGGTCCCGCACAGTGTAGTTCATGAACTCTTTGATGGTGTCCGTTCTTCCTCAAATGACTCGTAGCTGAGGATTATCTGGCTGAGGTGAGGCATCACATGCCCTTGCAATCTCAACCGCGCCCCCAACACAAAACATGTCCAGCGCATCCGAGTACTGCACTGGACACACAAAACATGTCTAGGGCATCTGAGTACTGCACTGGCCACAAAGCTTGTGGCGGTTTAGGGTTTAGGGCTAAAGTCAAACCGCAGTCTACCTACAAGGGGTTTAGAGTTTTGGGGATGCTTACCGTGACAGGGGGTTGAGAATTTCGGATTTCTGGACTACCCCAAACCCTAACCCCTAAACCCTAAAATAGGCTAAAACCCTTACGCCTTGAACCGTGAAACTCTGAGTTCGTCGCCCTCGAGGCCACTTTTTCAGCATCCGCGTGGACAAGACATTGATCCTCGGTGAATCCTTCTTGGGGCCGGAAGCCGGGTTTAGAGTTTAGGGTTTAGGGGTTTAGGGGTTTAGGGTTTAGGGTTTAAGGTTTAGGGTTTAGGGTTTAGGGGAAAGGGGGCTGGAGCACTTAAAAAAAAGGCCGGGTTTTGGGTTTGGGTGTAGGGTTTGACTTATTGTGATTTCCGTGTAGTCGTTCTGGAAAGGTAGGTCATGTGGGCTTTAGGTAGGAGGTGCACTTCAAGCAGTAACTAAGTTTCAAAGCGAAGCCCCCATGTACGAACTTTGATCTGGAGGCTCACAACACCAGGGTTTAGGGTTTAGGGTTTAGGGTCTTGATGTCATGTAAAGCCCTGATGAATAACCTCTCTTTCCATATCCAGATATATGACGATGCATGTATTTTGGGTGTAAACTTTGATGCAGGCACTTGGAGACCGTTGTGTTTCTTCAGTAGCGTTGTACATTGATCCCGAAGGTGACCGGAACCTTCAATACCCAGAGGTCCTCAGAAAGGGTTAGGTAAAAGTAATAATGCTGCTTACAATAACAACAGTATCAACAATGTTTAACATAGTAACGATACGAATAAACATGATGACACCATGATTGCTACGACGACGACGACGACGACGACGACTACTACTACTACCACTACTACCACTACTAATGATAACACGAATAGTCATAGCATGCTGCATACAAATGCTTCTTCTCCTACATTGCTGCTGCTGCTTCTACTACTACGACGACGACTACTGTACTACTACTACTACTACTACTACTACTACTACCACTACTACTACTACTACTTCTTCTTCCCAACGCAGCAAGGATGTCTCGCTTGGCGGTCCAAGTTTTGGGGCAGGATCTGCATCCCGGCGCCTATGCGCATCCTGGAATTTCAGGATCCAAACTATCTCAAAAGTGGCACTCCCCGGCCCGAAGGCCCCATAAGCAGGAGTGCCTCATCCCAGCCACTGCCCATGGTAGAAGGAAAACGAAGGAATGATGAGTGATTGAAACAGAGTGCTATATACAGTGCAGCAGGGCAAGCAGCGTGACTCGTAACGCTCTACCAGTGGGACGGCTGGGGCAGAGCACTTGTATCCCAAATTAGGGACTAGGACAGCGTACATAAATAAAGGCATAATAGTTGCTGTAGCAAAGTGAGAACTCGACTGGGTGCTGCATGCGCTTGGCAGGGATGGAATCATTGGTGATAAGGCTACAACCAGTATCAAATAGCACTGCCCGATAGTGTCCTGAATCCGGCCTGGGGCCTTCATGCAGCAGCGCTGCAGCTAATCTGTATGGCTCATACAGAAGTTCCAGAGCACTGGGCTGCTCCAGACTGTGCACGAATCTGGGAACCATCAGTTGAGGATCAGGCCTAAGGTGGGTTAGGGTCTTACCGGGATTGGCTTGACTCGTGCAAAAGCGATTGGCCTGAAGCAGCAAAGCGGGCACTGGTTGTGCCAAGGCTTGCAATCCTACCTGCTGCTGCCATGCATCGACAAGAGCTTGCGTGGTCACGGCTACTGGATGGGGGCTGTTATTGGGGAGTATTGTGTCCAGAGGCATGGGAAGCCATAGAGGCCATGTGCTACCATCCTCTACCTTTATGACGCCAGCATCTAGTTCCTGTCGTGCCTCCCAACGGCCCGCAGCAGTTGCAGAATGCAGAAGAGGACGCAGGTATTGCATGTACTCTATCACATCATGCTGTTGTTGGGGCTGTCTCCAAGTGGTGTGCAGGGAGCGCCACAGGATGTTCTGCCAGAGATACGTGATCCCTGTCCTCTTTCTTAGCCTGGCTACAACCGTGCACAACTGTGGCCCAAGAAGACACTCAGAGTCCATCGTCCCTGAGCACATGCAGAAGTGAGCCCACATGACAGCTAGCAAAGAAGCATTGCTGTAACAACTGCTGTTGTGGTGATTGCCCAGAACTAAGGTTCGCACAAACCCTCTGCCAGCCGCTGAATATGGGTTGCAAGGGCCGAGCGTCGAAGGCGCTCCTGGCGCATGCTCATCGCGATGGCCCTGCAGGCACCGCTGTGCGAGAGCTTGGCTAGGTGCTGCCAGGTGCGATCTGCTTCCGGCGTTCTCAGGCCTACCTCCAACATCATCGGTACGATCTCCCCCTTGAAACTGTTTCGCCATCTTGCGAGCCGCGTGAAATCGTAGGGTGGTGAGCGGCAGTAGGACCAAATCCCTCAACTCGTTGATGAGCGTGAGGGCCGTCTGGAAGTCCAATGGCTCCCTGTCTGGCTTCACCTCCATTTGCTGGGTCTGGCGGTTGTATTGCAGATACGGGATCAGCCCATTCTTGTCGAGGATGAGCATGGTCTGGGCCTGCTCCGTGCTCTCCTCGTTCTCCATCACCGCTTCCAGTCTGTTGTGCCAGACATCCAGCATCTCTTCAACATGGCAGAGCGCTGGGGAAGTGCAAGCCCCGCCGGGTTCTCCTCCTTCATTTTGGTCCAGTTCTCCAGGGTCTGAACCAAACTACTACTACTACTACTACTACTACTACTACTACTACTACCTGCTACTGCTACTGCTACTACGACTACTACTACAGCTACTGCCCCTACTACTGCTACTGCCAGCTACTGCTACTGCTACTTCTTACTTGCTAGTTAGTAGCTTGCTACTTATTAATTACTTGCTACTCGCCAGTGAATACTGCTGCTGCTGACTCTTTGCTACTGCTACTGGTACTGCTACTGCTACTGCTACT